CGCTGTTTATGCATCATTTCACCCTCCACGCGATGCTCCCCGCGATGGCGGGGCGGGTGGAGGTTCCCTACGCCCCACCCGCCGCGCGGCCGCCGCGGTGGCCGTCCCTGTACAGCCTCGAGTTGATGCCCGACCGCTGCGCGTTTGACGGGGAGCGGGGCTCGTGGGCTTCCCGGGATTCCCACGGGCCCCTGCACGCCTATGAAAAGGGCCAGTTGTTGACAGATGCGGCGCGTTTTCCGATCCTGTATCGGGCGCTGGATATTGAATAAGGGGGGTGAATTTGCCCCTCTTTCTCCCCCCCTCCTTCTTTCCCCCTTCCACTGATGAATAAAACGGATCGTGGTGTGGAGGGGGAGGAGGAGGCGCAGGATGAGGGGGAAAAGGGGGTTGCAGGAAATAAAATTTTCACTATCCGAGGGGGGTTTACCCTTCGTTTTTGTGTCGAGGGAGTCTAAAGGAATCGATGGGCACGCTCGGAGGGAAGTGAGACTCTAAACCACCAACTGTTCTTCTTTTTTTCTTCTTCTTCTTCTTTCATTACCCTTCCATCCTACACTCTCGGTTTCGAACAAACAAAAAGATTTACGGAATATTACTTATAATAATAACAAAAATAGACTTGAGGAAGTCCTGTAACGAATACTAGTACGTTCAACCCATGCGGCGGGTTACTCAGTGTAGGGATCTCCTCCTTTGGGCAAAGGGGCGGGCCCGACACTTCTCCGAGAGCACCTCCTCTTCCAGTGGCCGCAAGTCGTTCGCGTGGGCAAACCCCCCCTCATATCCTTCCGCTAGGTCCGAATTCCCCCTCCCGAAACCCGCCTTCCGCAAAACCCACATCGAGTGGATGCTGCATCACGGGCATGGGGATCGCCATAGCAAGTACGGCCCTTCCCGAGAGATCGCGGACTTCGAGTACGCCGACGGGACGCCCTCGGCGATCAGCCCCGCGCGGTTTTCGTTTAAACACCATCAGGATCATCTCCTTGTGCAGCTGATCCGCGCAGGGGCGGTGGTGGAGCGTTATGAGGAGGAAGGGCTCCTGCCCCGCATTCCGGGAACCCCCGAGCAGCGGGATTGGGATCCGGAGATTCCGCTATTTCTGGACGACCTCGACGAGCGCGGGCGGCCACCGATCCCTAAGGAAGATTCTTCTTCTTCCTCCCTTCAGAGTAATGTGGTAGAGAAGATGGTGGAGGATCGCTTTCGAGCTCAAACGCGGACGCCAATCAACCTAGCCAACCGCCACGCCGGGGAGGAGTTGGAGCCGAATGTGATGTTCGCCTCCTATGATCCCAAGGCGTTTGTGGCGGATCGGATTAAGGCGGATTATCGCCGGCCGCACTGGTCGCGGCGGCGCTGGGCCCTCACGGATAACTTTATGCTCCCCATAAATCCAAAACCGAAGAACACGATACCAGATGATTAATGCTTTCAACAACATAAAAAGGGAGGGAAAGAAAAGGAAAGCATCACTAGGAGAGAGATGGTGGTGGTGATGGTGGTGGCAGGAGGAGAGTAGCGCTAAGTAGCAGTGTGTATAAAGAGGAGGGGGGGGAGGGGGGAAAGGAAATAGAGAGAGAAGTATGCAGACGGAGGGAAGAGGGTCTACATGTTAGATAGCGTACAGTAGCTAGAGGATGGAAGACTTTCATCTTGAGATGGTTGGAAGCATGATCCCGATGCTATGAACAAAAGGAGCACATAATTTTTATGAAAGCATCAGGAAAACACGATCGGCTGCTTACGTGTGATGCGTTTTATGATATCAGGCGGCATGTTGCAAACTCCGCCTTGTGTGTGTATTGGTGGCTTGACAAAAGCACCCTTCGAGTCACTCAGAAATTCCCCAAGTGATGCCTACAGAGGGCTGCCAGAGATGGAGATTCGCACTGAAACGCGTCGCTGTTGCTAAAACCCGCTTTTGCTTTACATACTTATACCGATTAATTGAATGCTTTGGTTTGATTTGCTGCTATTCCCGGACTATAGCAGTCTTTATTGGATTGGGGTTGTTTATCGTTAGATGTGTGGGTGGCGGAGCACCGAATGCTCTTACTCCACCCCAAATCGCTGATAATGTCAATAATCTTTCGAGTCTCTCTTCACCACACTTTCCCCTTGTTGTTGCCTGTTAAAAGGGCAAGATAAATATGTAGCTGTACATTATGATCGACGACCCCCTTTCAAAAGAGTTTCAGATCTTGAAAACGGCGAATGAGAAACTACAGAGAGAAAACGCAGCACTACGACGAAGGCTGAAGGAAGAAAGAGAAAAATGTTACTCATTGTACGAAGAAAGTAATCATGAAATACTCGAGGTGTACAAAAAGGATATTCGCAAGATTGACCCTCATTCCAAGGTGCTCGCCATCCACGATGAGCTCATTCAGATGCGAAGGGTCTGTGAGGTTTACATGAACGCGATGGAAGAGTTACGTACCTGCTATCTGGAGCTCAAAAACGTGTATACGGATCTCGAAACCCTTATCAAGGAGGGCACACCAGCCCAATCTACCGGGCTAAGTAAAGTGGCAATAAATGGAAAGGTTAAACAATAATTTACTATAGTAGGAAGATCCGAAGAAAGGGTTAAAACTTTCCCCGTGACGTGAAGTATGGAATTAGAATATAAATTTATATATTCATCTTTTCTTTTTTCGCAGTGGGTGAGGGGGGATGTATATTGATTGGCTTGGCTCATGCCAACTGAAATATGTCGCATGAACACTTTTCTCTCACCCTATTTTAACTGTTTGTATGTCATTGTTACTCCTTCATTGATGAGCCCTTTTGCAAAGCAAGGATTGCATGCCTTTTGAGAATCAATACCCAGCTTCGAAAAAAACGTCTTTCGAAAGAGTCCTATTTTAGTGAAATTCCAACACAGCTAAAAACTTTATACTCCTTTTTTTTTGAAATACTCAGCTTGGTCGATGTCTCACTTATTTTCGATGTAGGAGAAAAAAAATGGGAAGAGTTCTCAGCACCCAACATTTCAAAGCATAGTGTGCCCAAGCGATTCGTTAGGGAATGGTGGCTAACGTGCTTTAAGCGTGTCCCGTTCGAACTCCCAATACCAGTTCAAGAGGATATTCAATACCTTCAAAAAGGTGAAGGACGACTTTTAGCCTCCTCGCGTAGGGAAACCTGGGTCCATTTTGTAAGTTTCTGAGATGTAATCCAACGCAGAGCCGTGGATGGGTTTCCTTTCGTAGGGGAGGACAGCAGCGAGAATCATATCTCCTTCATTAATTTGAAAGGTATAAAAATACAATATTGCAAGTGTCATATTTTCCTATCTCAATTCTTTTACATGCAATCTTCCTTTGAGCAATTATTGTTGCCAATATGGTGTGAAGAGGATATCTCTATTTGTTCTTTGAAAAAAAATTCTGCAGTATTAATGGTCATCGCATTTTTAGCACACATACACACACACATATACTGGATTCATTATCAATACAAACTTAGTATAGTCTAATATTTGGCATATTTCCCATGTTCTGCTCATTTATGCAGCATCTCACTGTGGGCGTTTCAGCCGAAACTTTTTGTCGCATCATTCTTTTCTCCCATACTCTAATCCTTCTGTTGCGTATCCACAATACCCATCGACAGTTGTTACGGTTGTTGTTTGCAGTCTTTTTCTGCATTTTTTAAAACAATCGCATTAAGGAAAAAAATTTCCGTGGTAGTATACATATTTTTGTTGTTGTTATTATCGTTGCGTTTAGTGTAAATTCCCTGTATAATATACGGAATGCGGCGTTGGCTGGTAGCTCAACCGTTCCGATGTTGTCGTTGGGCGGCTTCACTTGCGCTTCTCTTAGAGGCTCAGAAGGCCCTTTTGAAAGGTAGTAAGCTCAGCACCGAGGCGGCGACGAACTACGCGGAATTCTTCCAAGCTCCGCTCTCCCTCGACAAAAGTGTCCAGGACTCGGTCATGGAGCATTTCAAATCCATTCAAGAGCAGCTTTCGAATGAACAGGAGAATGTGAAAGTCATCGAGCAAGAGCAGCAGGTAAGGCGGCACGAGGACCTCTCCGTGTTCCTCTTAGGCTACGGCTTCAAAAAGAAGCGGTTTTATATCTACTCTGTCGCGCAAGATCGGGTCGTGATGGAGCGTTCCCTCGACACCGATCATTGGGATCTCGCCGATGAGCTGATGGTGCACACAAAAGGGCTCTCGCAGTTTATTGTGATCCCCATCGTAGAAGTGGCGAGCGAGCGGAAATTATTGCAACCTTTAGTGGCATCCTTTGCCGAGGCGTTGGTGGGGATTGGGCTGCAACCGGCCGTTCACGTAGATACCTTAGAGCTTAGTCAATCCTTCTCGAAGGAGATCTCCTCTTTAAAGGGGGTAACGACGAATCCCACCACCGTAATGGCGCCGGAAGTTCTTTCCGATGGTTGGTTTCGCGCGCACTGGGCATTTTTGCGGACCCTCGCCTGTCAGACGTTCGATAGCGATCCTCTTCAAACCATCAACGCGTATATTCTCCCTCGCTTGGATGTCTTTGTCGTGCATTTAGTGCAAGCGGGGACGCGGAATATGAATATCTCCTTTTTTGACGCCGTACGTGGGCGTCGTCAGTCCGCGAAAGGGATGCTTTCGGATATCATCGCCGCCCTGCTCTCCACGCACTCCTCGAAGTGCATTTTGATCCCGACGAATCGCACGGATCGCGCCGCGTTGTTTCGCTGTCGAACGGCCTTGCAGAAGTCCGGCCATCAATGCGTCGTCGTCTTCGCGTCGGAGATGCACGAGAATTACCGTCAGGTGCTTCACTCCGATCCTTGCAGCTATTGGAACGCGCTCAAAGAGGCGAGCCACGCGCTGAAGGCGGATCTCCTCATGCAGGCGTACACCACCGCGGGAAACACCCTCCGCGCCTATTTGAAGAAGCGCCAGCAAGAGGAGGAGGAAGAGGGGGATCGGAATGGAGATAGAGATAGAGATGGGGATGGGGATGGGGATGGGGATGGGGATCGGAATCCCGCGAGCGCGGAATCACCTCGTGGAAGTAGCAAAAATAACCTCTCCTCAGAGAAGAAAAATGAGAACGAAGAAGAGGATTCCATTCCCTCCCCAACCGACGTCGAGTCGTGGCTGGCGTGCCTCCGCCATCCCAAACGACAGGCCGCGGAGCTCGCGGAGCAGCGGCATTATCGAAAATACGTCGTCATCAGCTACGTCGCGACCGATCATAGCGATTACGGCCGCCCGCGAAATCCGCTTTCCCCGCATAATTACATTCTTAGCACCTGTGTGGTGGATTATCAGGGGCATTTGCTACAGCCCTGGGCGAAGTACACCCATCGTGGCGCCTATCATCTCCCTTCCCTCGCCGGTTATGAGGTGCTCGTCGCGCATGACGCGAAACATTTTCTTCTCCACGTCTGGGAGGATCCGGAGCTTCGGAGATTTCTCCGCGAAGGGGGGCGGGTGTGGTGTACGATGCTGGCGGAGTACCTCCTCGACGCCCAGCGCCCTCGCAGCGGGAGTAATGGAATCCGCGAGATCGCCCTCAAACACGGCAGCCTCCTCCCAGCATCCTCCGTACTCGGTAGCACGAACGAAAGCCTCCCTCTTGCGTTTCATCGCCACCACTTGTTGAAAAGCGCGCCCGCCGTGGCGGGGATTTTTCGCGATCACCTCGAGCGCGCCCGGGCGCAATCCCAGCTGATTAGCCTCGCCCATCGGATGGATTCCCTTCTCGCGATGGCGAGTATCGAGCACGCCGGGATTTTCATCGATTTGGACGAAGCCGAGCGGCAAACGAAGGCGCTGCGGAGCGCGATGATGGTGCTCGATCAAGCCCTTGAGGCCTTCGTTCCGCTCGAGGTGCCGGTGGATATGCGGGAGTTGTTTGATTGGGAGTCCGTGCATCAACTCCGTGCGTATTTCTTCGGTGGGGTGATCACGCTCGGGGCGGGGGAGCAGCAGTCCTCGCGTGGGGGCCCGGAGTGGACGTCGAACCTGATTCACCTCTGCCATCGCTACGGCGTGCTCGGGAAGCTTGCTGGGGAGGTGCATGTGCAGCGCTACGCCGCGGAGCACGGGATTGTGGCCTCCGGCGCCGTCAAACTCCCGACGCGGGTTGCCCAACACCTCGAGCAGACGGGCTCGGCGAGGCGAAAGACCTACCGATTAGTCCTCTTTGACATCGAAACGACCGGGTTGAATGTGAGCTCGGATGAGATCATCGAGGTGGCGATGTTCGACCCGGTCGAGGGCGGGTCCTTTTCGTCGTTGGTGAACCC